AAGTAAAAAAATACATTGCGAAATCTTAATTATGTTATTTACGTGAAGTACTAACTAATATTCTGACTATGATTGATTAACCATACTTTATATGTGAGTTCTACGATGCCTAACACATGCAAATTGCAAGGTCATTCGTCGGGAATCGTAACGCTTGGGAGAAATAGGTAGATAGTGTATCAACAACAAATAAACCTGAAATATGATTTCTAACAGAAATGTGATCTATTCTACTTAGTTAAAAATCTTGTTAGTATACAAAGTTTTAATTTCGGTATTTTGTGTTATTATAACTTAAAATATTTTAATTACAAAAGACAAGTATAGGTATGTAAGTAAATACTTGGATAGTGAAGTAAATTTTAACTAATTTTTGTAATGAAGTACTTAGGTATTTCTTCTGTAGACCAAATTATTACTTAATTCTTTTTTGCTGTGAGTACCTATCAAACAAAAAAATTAAATAAATTCACCTTTCATAACTACCTTCTAAAATTCTTCGGTAACTTAAAGAATGATATGAAACCTTTTGTTGGTCATTTAGTATCCATCTAAGCAACAGTTATAGTAGGAACGACGTTTTGCTATTATAATTTATCAAATAGGTAATATACATATTGTATAATTTTTAAAATATATTAAAACTTTTACAACTATTTTTACCTACAATATATACCAAACACTAAATAAAAACTATTTCAACAACTATTTACGTAAACAGCGTTAAAAAACTTTAACATTCAATCGCCTCCAACGCGCTAGCCCTGACTGCGTTATTTCGCCCGGGCACGTCGTGATTTTAGGAAATTATTTCACGCAGGTAGCAAGAGTGATAGAGGCCTGACAATGCTTGGAGGTTTGGTTCCAATGCCAAACCCAATGTTTCATTGTGATTAATATAAATAGAAACTTTTTTATTCAATATAGATTATAAATAATACTTATTGAAAGTATTTTTTTTTAATTTACCACTGGTTCGGAAAAAAACCCCTATCCTAGGAAGAACTAGCAATAAACCCAGTGGAACTTTAAAAAAACAGCTTACAATCATCTATTTTACACAATTAACAACACAAAACAAATTAGAAATAGCTTGGTAGCGATCACCTTTCCTAGGGGTTACTATAATCAATAAATTCCTCAATATTATAATAACCTTTTTTATACAAACTAAGTTTAAATAAAGTTTTTGAACTTTAAATGCAGGTCAAATTTTGTACATTTTCTAGGATTTTATTGTAAAAGCATATACATTGCTCCAAGAATTAATTACTGACGTTCAGTGGAGTCGAGTAACTGGTACTACTAGCTTGTGTTCCTAGTATTTACAGAATGAATATCACTTATTTTTGTAAAACTTATTCTTTTATAAATGCATTGAGAGGCCAAAGTTAATACTAAATAGGATAAATGTAGATGCTTATCGGCCACAGCATCCACTTACCATCAGGTGAACTGTGTGCTCGTTCGTTTCGCTTAACACTAGAGTGCACGCGCGGGCTACATATGTAACCCAGCGTGTAATATTGTCGTATATCATTTTAACTTGCCGCACTATAGCGCAATCGTCTAGGTGTATTCCTCAAGTATTACCCCCCCGCTACCGCCAGCAGCGTGCCGACTCCCGTGGCTCAAGGATGTCCGCAAAAATCGTCCTTGAAGTTGGTGGGCTACGCCTGCCCGCGCGGCGTGGAAATAAGTGTTTAGTGTGCAAGTGGTGAAATTGAGGTAAATATGACACATTTCTTGCAGTATTACTACAAAATGTACAGTTAATTAATTCTTAAGTGTTTGTTGTTGGTATTTGTAGATTTTTCATGTAGCTTTATACTGTTTTGTTCACTTTTTAGGTGACGAGTAACTCGATCAGATTGTGCGCCTAAATACAAAGATGGCTGCTGGAGGATAATGAATACGACGACATTTGGAGCGGGTATTGTTATTGTCTACCCTCTACAATGATGACAAAATTGATGCTGCGACTGGCGATGCTAGAAAACCTGAAATCATCACATTTTATAATCACGTAAATACGGCGTTGATATTTTTGATAAAGTGTGTAGACAATATGACGTTTCTCGCAACGGTAACCGATGGGCTCTAACGATATTATACAATTTTTTAAACATGGCGGGCATAAATAGTTTGGTGATATATCAGATGAACAACCGTCAAATGGAATTGATCCGTCGTCAATACCTCCTAGATGTTGAATTTGATCTTGCACGACCTTCTATTGAGCGTCGTATATCCCAACAAAATATACCTAGAGGTATTAAACTGAAAGGCAGACTACTTCTAAGATTGGCAGGACAACCCCTACAACAAAATATGCCTTTGGATCGATGTGCTTTTTACAGCAGGGTTCGTGACCGTAGCACACGCTAACAATGCAGCAAATGTATGAGGCGTATTTGTGACGAACATCAGGCAGTCGTGTGTCCTGAATGTAAACCAATAGACTGATTTTTTACCCGTTACTTTGATTATAGACTCAATTAGGCCATATAAATGCCTTAAATGATAAATATTATGTTTTTAAATGAAAATAAGACTTAGAGATATCAAACCTTCCAAATATTTGTTGATTTCTAAGAGGTTTACGTTTAAGTTTCAAATTATATTAAAGAATCAAAATTTTGTTGATTTTATAAACCAATTTGATAAAAATAAAGATGTTTAGTAACTATATGCTGTGTTTTACTCATTGTTTTGTCTTATTCAGAGAAATAATTGATCCGCAACTGGTCTACACATGTAGCCCGCGCGTGCGCTCAAGGAGTATTTAAGGGCGCGTGCACTCTAGTGTTAATGAAATATTAAGTGCACTGTGAGAGTGAGAGATAAAATTCTGTGGAATGGTCGTGGCAGCATTTGATGTTTAATTACTACAGTACTCATAGTTCTTTTCTCAAGAAAATTTACTTCTTGATTTTTTGTTGGTTAATAACTTGTTTGCAGTTTTCCATCCTTCTTTAAACTTAACCATACAAATACAGAATCCGTGGAATGAAAACTGGTGTTCAGTAAGTCATTACTCAAAAAGCTAGAGAATTTTTTCCATAAAAATCGAAATCCGGTGGCAAATTGATGTTTGGAGGACGTTGTGTACTTTTACTGTCCAAGGTTCGGTCCGTGCAATATATTGCGTTTAACTAGGACGTAACTCGAGCTGGCCGGCTAACTGCAAATAGTGAATGGACACGCAGGCCAGTTGCCTATTAAATTCGACGTAATCACTTCGTTAAAAACTCTTTACGATTTAATAAGTATACATAATTATTGTTTTTCATAAAATAATTAGATTGTATAAAAATATATTAAATCGATTTAAATTGTCATCGGATTTAGTTTATTTTTGTATTAGATAACTACCACAGTTATGTATACTGTATTGGTAAGTAAAAATCTACCGAAGTACATAGTTCATTACTTTCGGAAATATCTTGTTACAATTTTTAAAGCCTGCATGAAACAAAAGAGTACACAGTCCACCTGATAGTAAGAGAAAACAGTGGCCTGTAGACACCTCAATCTACACTCGACGAAGATTTAAAACGCCAATGTAGGTATTTAATCCCTGTATCAGTAAAAACGAGTTTAAAAGGATCTCCGGCTCTATATTAACTTATTACGCGGGCGAGCATTCCGTAAACGAAGCATTCCGTAGACGTTACCCTTGGCAAAATTGGCAATCGCAGTATCAAAAGCATCGTATTTGACATTATTCACTATCCTTAAAATTGTAGGGATGTTTTCGTCTAGTAATAAAATTATTTTACCAACATCACATTGAAGGTTATGTGATCTTCATGATATTTACCTTAGTTGACCCACGATGTAAAAACAGATGTGAGATATGCTTTATTTTTAATTCATCGATTGAAAATACTGACCGGCTTAAACCAAATATATTATGTTATGAAATGTTTGCGAATTCTACCAGACTCAAAACTTGTTTTCGAGAGTCACTTGCCGGCCTTCTTCCGACAGAATCGCGTTCTCAATCAATCGATTTTTTTGAACTCATTTAAATTCCGAACTCCCGAAACCGTAGCTAATACTATATCTAATTACGGTTTTAAATTGGAATTATCAGAACGAAACTTATCAGCTGTATACGCTGCTAGATGGCGCTCGTAATCACATGTGTCACCTTTCTTTGATTAGTTTGTCTTATTTGTTAGGAAATAAAATATTTAAGGAGAGTTTTAAATTACGAAAATTGTACTCTAGATCAGTGTTCCGCAAAGTGTGTACCGCGGCACACTGGTGTATCGTGATCATTAGTTGGTGTGCCGTGGAAAAATAAGGTTATCTTATAAAATTATTTTTAGTAAGTAAGTAAGGGTAAGTAAAATATCTACACAAATTACGCGAGCGCACGAGCGAGGCATTTTGTTTCGTTCGTCTAATTCTGTCTGTGGTTTCGTTAGGCGCAGGCGGTGGCGGCCGGCGCGTCGCGGGAGGCGAGGACGGAGGCTCCCCGCCACGCTACCCGAACTCTTTGGTCACCAGTCTGTCAGTATTGAGTACGTGTACGAGTGCGCCGTTTAAATTCACCGCACGCTTTTTTTTCGTCGCGTATTGTTATGCTTACTATTCTAAGCATAAGTATTAAAATAATGGATAAATTCATTAAACGTAGTGTAAGTTTGTTAGATGAAATTAATGAAGAAGAAAAAGAGTCAATGAAAAAGAAACCCAAAATTTTTCATCGAAAATGTGACGAAATCTACATAAATTACGGTTTAACATATTGCGGAGACGAATCTTGTCCTACCCCAAAATGTCCTGTTTGCGGATAAACGTTGGGTAATAATTCGATGGTGCCCAGTAAACTAATACGATATTTAACTACTAAACACCCATCAGTAGCCCAAAAAGACAAAACGTATTTTCAATGTTTGAAGGACCAATTGAAGAAGCAGGTAAATCTTATGAGTTCGTCTTTCAAAACCTCAGACAAAACACAAAAAGCAAGCTACGTATTTGCTAATATGTTAGTTAAAGCTAAAAAGCCGCAATCTCTTGCTGAAACTGTAGTTTTACCTGTCTGCAAAGAAATTGTCAAGATAATGATCAGCCAAGAAGCTGCTAAAGAAATTGAAAAAATACCTGCTTCGGCAAAAACTATTTCACGTCGAATCAATGACATATCTAATGACATTAAATCGACGTTGATTGAGAACTTGAGATTTAGTGGAGTTTTTGCGCTACAAGTTGATGAGTCCACTGACATCAGTGGTCACGCGCATCTCATCTCAAATGTTAGATACATTGATGGATGTGAATTAAAAGAGGACTTTTTATTTTGTCTGCCACTGCCTAACCATACAACTGGTGAAGAAATATTTAAAGTAACGGACGAATTTTTCAATGAGCATAATTTGGAATGGCATAACTGTATAAGTTTGCTCAGACAGCGCAGCGGCTATGACAGGAAAGGTTAAAGGCTTTATAGCTAAGGTTTCTGAAAAAAATCCTAATGTTCAAAAACAGCATTGTTTTTTACATAGGGAAGCTCTTATGACGAAGTCTCTGCCTGAAGATCTACTGCGCGTTCTTCAAGAAATCATCAAAATAATCAATTACATCAAGTCGCGACCGCTGAACTCTCGTCTTTTTAATGCTCTATGTCAAGAAATGGGGGCAGATCATCAGTCGCTTTTGTTTCATACAGGTGTACGATGGCTTTCTCGCGGCAAAGTACTTTCCCGAATTTATGAGTTGAAAAATGAGACTGAGATGTTTTTGCAGTCCCAAGGTTCAGATTATGCACATTATGCACACAAGAAGAATAGCTATAGGCTAGCAAAACTTGCATATCGGACGGATATATTTGCTCACTTAAATGAGCTCAATATTAAATGCAAGGCAGAAATTCTAATATTTTGACATCTTCGGATAAAATTGAAAGCTTTCGCGCTAAATTGGAACTATGGATCAGTCTCGCTACGAATGGTAATAATAAAATGTTCCCAAATGTCATGGCAGCTGATGCAGAAAAAAAGGTGCAGGCTTTGATTGTCAAACACTTAAAGCTTCTTGCAGAGAAAATGAATTTTTATTTCCCTAAGCGTGATCTGCAATCTATGGACTGGGTACGAAATCCATTCTCCGAGAACATTCCTTTCGGCCACTTACCAATGAATGAGCAGGAAGAACTGATGGAAACGAAAACGGATCGCACATTAAAATTTAAATTTTCTGAAACAGATTTAGAACAATTTTGGCTATGTGTGAGAAATGAATATCCTCTGTTTTCTAAGCATGCTATTGCAATACTTTTGCCGTTTTCAATGACCTATTTGAGTTAATTAGGATTTTCGACTCTTACCACAATAAAAACCAAAAAAGGGAACGCCTCAGGACGATAGACGAAGAAATGAGAGCAGCCTTGTCAGCGATTACTACAAATTTAGACCGTCTATGCTCAATTAAACAGTCTCATGTTTCGCATTTAATACCTTTTCTGAAATGTAAAGGTTAGGTTTGCTGATCAATAATAAAAGTTTATTTTAATAATATTACTTAAAAACTGTATTTTAATTTGTGGTGTACCTCAAATTTTTTTTGTTTGAACACAAAAAGTTTGAGAAACACTGCTCTAGATTATGAAATATCTATGATAATAATCGGTGTACAAAAGTACGGAGTACGGAGAACGTGGATTACGTGAAGTAATTAGAAAAGGAGCTGAAGATGCAACTTTGTATAAGTTATAATATCCAGTAATGGTCGCGTCTAAGTTACAATATCCAGTACCTAATGGTCGCCTATGGTCGCCTCTGTTCGAACTTCGAACAAACTTTGATTGAATAGGTTTTACTAATACATGAATAGCTGTTCAGAAAATAGGATTTGAACGTAACGAACATGGGTTTCGTTTTCGCTCATAAGACTTCATATGTTTTTCTTTCAAGTTAAACTCAAAGACATTATAATGGGTTTTTCAACAAGAACTTTGTTTTTTAAAACAAAATAAAACAAAGAGTTTAGATGAAGATGATTCAAATTTTTATTGTATTACGAAGAGAAAAGTTTGGCAATTATGAATGAAAAATGATATCTGGCAAATGTCCACCGCGACCACGCTGACAGATGTCGATTCTTTCATCAAAGTTTTTAATCACTTTTTGGCAAAATGGCGGGCCTATTTCGTTAGTCACGGATTTTGAGTTTTAAGGCCGCGATCGATTCGATTGGCTCCGTATAGACTCTGTCCTTATCATAGCCCCACAAAAAAGAAGTGGTCCAGTGGTGTTAAATCACACGATCTGGCTGGCCATTTAACAGCTGAATTTTGTGAAATTATGCGATCGGGAAATTTGGTTTGCAATAAATTGATCGTTTCGTTGGCTGTGTGACATGTGGCACCGTCCTGTTGAAACCACATGTTTGTGATATCGATGTCATCAATAATAGGCAAACATTGAGATGTTAACATCTCGCGATAGCGTGATCCATTGACCGTTACCGCATTTCCAGCCTCATCTTCGAAAAAAACGGCCCAATCACGCCTCCAGACCACATAGCGCACCATATAGTGACACGTTGAGCATGCAAACGCTTCTCAATAATCGCTTTAGGATTTTTAGAAGCCCAAATGCGACAATTTTGCTTGTTGACGTACCCTTTTTTTTTTAACATGGGGAAATGCCTACGCATACCCGCCTCGCGGGGGGCAAGGACGGGTTATGTCGGACTCGCACCGACTAAAACCCCATGGTGTTCCACCTTTGTCGCATATTGGCAGGGCTACGGGAACGCTTTCGCACACATCCGCGGCCCTAAGAGCGCCTGCCGCCCCATGGCAGCACCTCCTCGGGAGAGGAAAATTCCTCCCCGTTCTCCTTCCCAGGTAAGGCGCACCAGAACACATGGCGCGCCTTCCTCCACGGCCTCCAACTACGTCTGTGCAACAGACGCCCCCGCGTCCGATGCACAAAGGCCATGGAGCCAGGAAAAACGAGCACTTAGAAGTACTAGCCTTCCCGACCCCAGCGGCGGATCTGGTCTATGGCTCCGCCGCCAACCAAGATTCGGCTGCGGAGGATAGGGAGAGCGGCGCCTCGCAATACCGACAATCCTCTCCCCTCGCGGCCCCATCACCACCGCATCAACGGTGCGGCCCCGTTTGAGTCGCGGAGGATAGGGCGAGTGGCGCATTGCCATACCAACACTCCTCTTCCTCCGCGACTCCACCTCGGCTGCAGCGGTAGGTGGGGAGGACACACCTCTCACCGCAGTCCACCAACACACATCCGAAGTGGGCTTCCCAAGCCCACTCGGAGTGGCCACCTCGGGCCGGCCCTCCACCTCGGACCAGCCATATGGGTTCCTCTTTGTTTCGCCGTGGGTGACCAAGCCACGGCTTCTAAGCCCCCCGCCACGACAAGGCGGGAACCCGTTCGGGGGGGTTGTTGACGTACCCTGACAAGTGAAAATGGGCTTCGTCTGAAAAAATTATTTTTTCAGAAAAACCAGCGGGCTGTTCCTGAATGAATTGAGCGAACCTACGGCGATGTCAATGGTCGGTCAGCTTCAATTCCTGCACCAGTTGAACCTTGTAAGGCTTCAAAGCCAAATCCTTACGCAAAATTCGCCATGTGGTGGTTTTTGATAACCCCAATTGTTGAGAACGTCGAGGAATTGACAAATTTGGATCTTCTTCAACACTGTGGCTCACGGCTGCGATGTTTTCGGTTGAACGATCCGGTCGAACACGCGTTGGTGTTGGCACATTTTGTACCGAGCCTGTCGATTCAAATTTAGCAACCAAATTCTTAATAGCGGTCTCAGAAGGACGATTATGTTGTCCGAAAATATTACGAATTTTACGAAACGTAACTTTAACAGAACCACCATTTTCATAGTGGATTTTAATTATTTTAATGCGATTTTCGAGCGAAATTGAATTCATTGTAGCAATTGCCAAAGCATCTACTACGAATAGGTCAAAAAACTAAATGTCAAAATTGTCATGTTGTTGGTGTTGCCCCAATTGAAAAACAAAGTTCTTGTTGAAAAACCCGATATCTAGACAAAAATATCTTAACGTTGTACGGCACGGTAGCACAGTGGCTAAGCGTTTAGCTGCGGTACTGCTGTACGTATTTGTGTGGTAGTTCCGGGTCTGACTGTTTTTTCTTGTGCAATATGTGTATGAAAAATTCCAAGATGTAGAAGAAATACTAGTAAGGAGGTTTTTAAGAAGTTTCTTATAAAAAAATTTAAACAGTTTGTTTTAAGATATATTCCAAAAATGCATGTTTTCTGTTTTATTAATATTTATTTAGCTGTACACTAAATAGCTACTATATCTTATAACATAATTAATTTATTGCTTTTTTATTTTACTTTCATTACGCGTGGTTTTTACTTTCACTTTTTTATGTTCTAAAACATAAGAAAAAAGCTAGGTCAGATAGTGAAAGTAATAGAGTATTCTATACTTAAATAGTGTAAGACTAAGTATATGTAATAAAATATTTTAAATAAAATAACACGGTTTGTGAGGAAGTACTGACGAGTTTTAGATCCGTTTTATACAAATTGTTTATGTATTATACATTTGTAAGTATATGTTTTTATAGAAGTAGGATGACAAACAAGCCTACTGTCCATTTGATTTTAAGCGGGTGTTATGATCCATAGACACACCAACATTAATCATTAATTTAAATTCAAAATGTAAATACCTGAGGGCTAAGATGGAATACCTTGTTCTCCAGGTCTCATGATTAACCGTACGAAAAACAATATCATTATGTTGGTATTATGTAAGCACTTCCGCCGTTCTTCCCCGGTCAAGTTGATCCATTCATGGTGCACCCATCATGAAGCTACAGCATTCTGCTTCTAACTAAAGAATCTAAAATCTAACTAAAGAAATAGATAATAGGAAAGGTGTTACTTACTGTTTTTATTCAATGCACACGCTTAGAGTTCCGCACGCTAATTAAGTTAATTTTAACTTAATTTTTCTGAATGGAAAAAGCCCGCATAGCAATGGAAGTTATAGTGATATATGACTTTCCGTTTAAAAAAAATATCGTTATATTTTACGCGGTAGAGTCATGCTGCAATTATATTACTAGTATAGTTGTAGCACGAATGGGTCGGCTCGGCCGGGGAAGGACCACGCTCTCACAGAATAGTAACAAAATAGCAGCTTAGCGGTGCTGTTTTGTTTGGTGAGTGTAGAGAACCAGAGACCCTTTTTACTGGAAATGAGGCATTCCATCTTAGTCCTTACGGGTGACAACGCATCAGCATTTTGATTCGTAATCGAGAAAGTAGATGTTTATGGGTTACAGCAACCACTTAGCCGCAGGTGGACTATGTGCTCGTTGTCACCTTTATCCAAAAAAAAAAAACAAGAATAAATAGATGAAGTTTGTTTTACTTTGCACTCAAAGAACATTTTAGTCTAATAATAATAAAAAGAATCCTTACAAAAAAACGCTTGACTTAATAGTCAAGGAGTCTGTAACTCATTACGAAGGAAAGCTCCCTCATATTATAGCTTTTATCCAATACATTGAGCTGGGTATCGGTCGATGTTCACAACTTAATTAGTTTATTTTTTACTCGAAGACATTATAGGATTTATTAGTTAGTACTTTTATATCGCAACTATATTCGTGTGAAATGTCAACTCGCTAATGATTTTAAAATACTAAAAATAAAAAAATATAAAAAATAACGGGAAGCTTGTAAAGTTTTGTGACACGTAATAGCGAATTAAAATTATATGACTGTACAAATTACATGTAAATAATACGTATACATAGGATTAGTTTGCATCAACACTTACTATCATAAGTGGTGATGCAGCCGTATAAGAAAGGTGGCAAGATGCACTGACTTAGCTGAACAAAACCTTTTGACTCTTGCCTTGAACACAACGACGTTATAATTTTGCATGTAAAGACAGATGCTGGCAAATCATTCCACTCCTTTATGCCAAGTTATGTTCTCCTTTTACACGTCCCTACTCGTGTGCTACAAAATATAAGGCAAGCGCTTATCCTCTGAAGCTTCTATATTTATTAAAACATCTTTTGAATTTACTTATTTCACTAAATAAAAAGACGACTACTTTAAATTTTCACAGAGTATGTGTACTTAACAGCGATCTCAATTTCGACTGGCATTTACCCAATTGGTTTGAATACATCTGGCTGTTATTCGACGATAAAAAGTTTTGCTTGTAGATACCGAATATTTTTTACGCTTTGTAGGCATATATCAGACCGTCGAACTAGTTTTTACTTTGCGCCTTTGTTTAACACCGTAACTTTGTTTTTTGGTA